ATAGGGGACACAGAGATGGGATAGGCAGACAAAAATGGATACGATAGGTTCTTGACACTGAAGATCTTAAGAAATGCCACTTCCTTAGTGATTTGGTACACTCACTCTCTCTCTCTCTCTCTCTCTCTCTCTCTCTCTCTCTCTCTCTCTCTCTCTCTCTCTCTNCTCTCTCTCTCTCTCTCTCCCTCACTTATTATCTTTCTCTCCCGTTCACTCTCTCTCTATCTTTCTATCTATCTCTAACTAACTCTATATCTCTCCCTCCCTGATATCACTTCATATTCCATCGTCCCTCAAAACAGGAGACCCCAAAACTTCTACAGTACAATTTTCATATCGGGTGGCATTCCTACTCGCTCTCTATGTGGAGCCAATGGCACCCTTCAATTTAGCCATCAAGCTTTCTCTACTTGACACTGACTTTTAAGCCAAAGCCCGCGAGTGTGCCCCTATCCTAACTGGGTCGGAGAAAGGGAAAACAGGCAGACAAAAATAAAAACCATCAGAGTATGAGTTCATTACTCAGATCTCAAGAAAAACTTTTTTAAATTGTAATTCGGTCGTTATCGATCATTTTCGCCTAGATTATCCTCGCTGGATTGGGTGTTACATATGGGTCAGACGCGTATCTCATCTTCAGTGTGCGATTTTTGTATCGTTTATAAGGTCGTGATAGATGAGTTTTTGTTATCTTTGTTATCGTCGCTCCTTTTCCTTTTTAATTGATATAGTGTTAGAATGGTATGTATGCGAACTGTTGTTAATTTGTGTTTTTGTGAGTTTTTTAATGGTTTGATGTGTTATTTATATTTGTATATTTCAAATGTTCGAGTATGTTCATTTTTCATCCCTTTTTCTATGTTGGTTTGTAGTTGCTTGTCTTTGATGAAGGTCCGTGACGGTTTTCTGCTTGGCGGTTTGATTTTTCACTTTTGTTCTTAACTTTTTATTTTTCATCCTGTCTGTCCTATGTATTTGTCTCCGCATTCGCATTTTTGTACCTTCCTTTCCCTATGTGAATGTGGTACATTTAGCCTATCGTCACGATTCAATTGAAAGATTTTTTTTTAGTTAAACACGTGGTCCCTTACATATGGGTAGTTTAGTTCTTTAGTGTGCTTTATAAATAGAAATATGGTTTTACCTCTGGATTAGTGGATCGTATTCCCCAGATTTCAAGTGGTGAAATACTGCTGACTAATTCATTCGCCGTTCAAAACATGTTTAAACCTTGGCGTGCGTTCGTGCTTTTTTTTTGTTGGGTTGTCCGATGTGGTGTGGCGAAGAATAACGTCCTTGAATGTCCAAATAACTAACTACTCGGCCTTCTGGAGGACAAAAAGTGTACTCATTCAGTCGGTTACAAAGTTCGAAATTAAGAGAAACAGCTGGTATTGATATCTAGTTCACCTTCTCATAGAAAACGGCACAGTTTGTTGGACATCTTCAAATTTGAACGAGTTTAATTTTATTTTCCTTCTTTCGACAGCATTCCACACTAATAAAATGCAGATATCTGAACGTTAAACGATCCCAGTTCAAATATAAAGTACACGGGGGAAGAATGGCCTCAGTCCACTCAAAACTAATTTCGTGTTTAAGGAAAATCGTGTAAAAATCATTATTTATTCAGAAAATTGTTTGTTAGAACTAAGAGAGGTGGCCACACGCCTTCTGCAGCTCGTCGACCTAAGTAGATCTATTGTGCTCAAGTTTTGTATAACAAAACTGGCCAGCGGGATGTTAATCAACCTCCATAGCGTTGCCAGCGGCTTCTTAGTGTAGGATCTTGCTTGCGGCTTCTCCTCTTCTACTTGCAAGAATCTTCTGTATAGACCTTCACAACATTAAATGTGTTCAGCGCTCACCTCTTCTTCCTGACATCTGAAGTGTTTCTTCTGCCTGTACTCTATTCGGTGCATGTGCCACCTTACGCGGCAGTGCCCTGCCCTGTCAGGAGTCCAGCCAGAATCCTAGTCTATTGCGGTTACCCTTCGTTACTTCCTTTGTAAGTCTTGCGGACGGCCATTTATGAATCTTTTCGCCTGCCTCATGCCTGGGGTGATTGTTCCACCAGGTTAGTTTTTATGCCAATTCTACTTTCCCATTTCCTCTGTCCCCAATGCCCAGGTCATTGGTGTCACTGACTTATGCCACCTCTTTCATACAATTCTATACGTTTTTGTCTTTATCTCGATGACGCTAAGACCATAAATGCCGCTTGTCTGTTTAAGAAATTGGCTGTCTTCCTGGATTCTTAGCCTATTTATTTTGAAATAGTTTTTATATCTTTAGCCTCTGGTCTTTTTGAGAAAGTTAGTGTTCGTCTTGGTTAGAATGTTTAAACATCAGTTGATGACTGGTGCAAAATTTGGACGACTGAATGCAGAAAAACGTACTCAGTGTACGTTCACATTGAAACAACAGTTTTGCCCTCCACTGTACATCAACAGCAAAGAAATACAGACTTCCTCCTGAGTCAAATACCTAGGGTAGTAGACTGACGTGCAATTGCACAAGACGTGAAAGACAACATTTAACAGAAGACTTGGACAACTACTAAGACTTCTAGGTCCGAAATTCGTCTTGACCGTCAACACTAAACTAACCTTATACAAGACTACCACTTTCAACATATGTTGTGAAACTGGGGTTCTGCCAGTCAATCCAACATACATTATCCACGCTTTCCGTTCAAAAGTAATCAGACAAATTGTCAAAGCTTCTTACCTCGTAACTAAGCTCACTATCCACGACCTCAACATTCCTTTTGTCAACGAACTGATTATCTGTTCCGGAATACAAAAGTTTCAAAACTTCTCGATTCATCCTAACTCTACTGATCGAGCCCTCTAAATATTCCCATCCCGAAAACAAGACCTCGTTGCCCCTCAATCCCCACACTGAGTGCCAGCATTGGCCGATTTCTCATAGCACGTGTCCTCCGGGTGTAGCGTTGTTATTAGTATCTAGTGCTGTACCGTGTGAGAAAAAACTTACTGTTATCACATTTGTAATATGTACAAATATGTATAGGACACAAATTTAAAAAAAAATCAGCGTTTTGCTTCTTCATTCATGAGCTGTTTGTAAACTTTCGGGTTATTTTCAAATTTTCATACCATCTTGAAAAGAACATCCTTCGTATAAAATCAATAAGCACTTTCTTATAAATACCTTTTAAGCCTTTAAATCTGCCCGTTATTATTAGAACAAGGCCAACATTAAGACAATGTGAGATCGGATACTTTTTTTATAATATTTATTACCATCATCTGTACAGTAGAATTACATTATGCAATGTTAAAAATGCATATTTGAAAAAAAAAATTAATATTGACCATGTCTTGAGGGGAGTTAACAACCTTTGTCTCTCCCAGCTTTAAGCCGGGAACACACCCTATGTAACGCCATGCGCTACCCGATGCCTTACCACGTTTTGGTAGGGTGTGCAACGCCTCTTTTTTTCTTTAACGCATTATTTTGAGCAAAACCATGTAATAAAATGTTAGTTAAATTTAATTGTTTGAAATAAAGTTATTCCGGTGTTTTGATAAATTTTCTGCCTAACCATCATAATTAAATAATTTGTAAAAAAACTCATGAATTTTTGATCTGGTTTAATTTGGTTTATATTAAAATAAGAATGTTGTAATTAATATAACTACAAAATTACATGTACATAGTTTAAAATAAACTACAAAAAATATGGATGTCCTGTTCTGACGCTACTCTACGAAAAGCAATTGTATGAGCAAAACCATAAAATAAATTGTTAGTTAAATTTTATGATCAAAACCGTGTAATAAATTGTTAGTTAAATTTATTCTATCAAAAAATGGTATTCCTGTGTTTTGATCAATTTTCTACCAAACCATTAAATTTTTTTTTTTTTTTTTTTTAAATAAAAACTAATGAATTTTTGATCTCGGTTAATTTGGTTTATATTAAAATAAGTATGTTGTAATTAATATAACGACAATAATACATGTAGTTTGAATAAAAATATGAGTGAGTGTCCGGTTCTTTTGGCTTCTGGACAGTGGGATCGCAGAGCGTAGAGTAGGTTAGCGTTGCACAGCATCGAGCAGATGTGCACGGGGGTGACTACCTTATGGAAAAAATGGACTTTGGATTTGCGTCGGGTAGCATCGCATGGCGTTGCATCGGGTAGGTGGGTTCCCGGCTTTACTCAAGGTCTAGTCCTTGGCGAGGAGGTCCCGGGGCGATATCCCACGACGGGATTGTATGGATGGGATTTTGGGCATGATTCTGGTCAATAGATGCAGAACCTGGAAAATTAGTTGGGGATTAATTTATTTTGAGGTCGTTGTGGAGGGTGGATTGACTATGGTTCTGAGATTTTTGTATTGGAAGGACTGAATTCGCTGGATAATGGTAGGTTATGAAGTGCCACACAGTTTCAGTTCATATGTCCAAATGGTGTTTGTAGTGTTAGTTTGTGTTGGTCGATTTTCGTCCAAGTGTCGTTAATAAGGTAGTCCGAAGCGCTGTTCAGTTCCTTCCTTGTCATTTGTGTTTGGTTCTAGTTTAAGCGTGAGTCAAGATAAAACGGTAGTGTACCCCAGTCGGTTTTAGAAATAGGAATGTCATTGAGGAATATTGTGCGAGGGGTTTTGCTTCGGAGGTACATGTAACGTGAGTATATCTGTTTTCATTGTTTAATCTATTACCACCAAGGCTATTGGTTGGAGCTTCATCGAAGCAATCGCAGGCTTGGGATCAGAGGAAACACGGCTGACTCGTCGGCAAAGGATGCGAGGAGGATAAAGGGTGTAGTTGGGATGTCTTCTGAGATGAAGAAGTACAGGATTGGTCCGAGCACACTACTCTGTGGTACTCCCTCTCCCACAGGGCAGCAGTCTGTAAGCCGACCCTTGGCGAACTTCTTAATATCGGCCCTGTGATGGATAATAAAAAAAAATGGAATTGCATAGACAACACGGAGTAAGCGGTTAGGCCACGAATATAAAATATTAGATTATTTAAAAAACAATGTTTATTAATTTCAAACAGACATTCAAATTGGTTGATCGTACATGCACTGATTTATAAAAAAAAATTCTTATTACTAAACAATCAATTATATTTTTGTCACAATATTTCAACTAATAAGTGAAATAAGAACACAAATACCTTAAATGCCATGCTGTTCACATGTACAGACAATTAAAAATTTTACTCGTTATTTACATTTGAAAAAAGTACCTTTTTATTTAAAAAAAAATTATGTTGAAATCTTGATTATAAAACTTGACTTAAGGCTTATTAAATCATTCCTTCATCCTTCTTATTTCTCAATGTCTGTTTAATCTTGTCCTTCCTCTTTTCTTCTGCCTGAAATAGCATTATAGTTGTTAATGCGAGATGTTAAACATTAAATGCCAAATTATTAAATGAGAACAATCCTCTCAGCTTAACTCAAACAAAGCAGAGATTGGAAAGCAGCTAAGTGACCAGTGACGCATCTTAGGGGCGTCTGGTTTAAAATAACCAATGACCTGACCAGTTTTTGTGCAAGCGTGTGGTTAACGAGTTTGGTGGAGTGAATCGTAATGAATATTTTTTTTAGTTCAAAATACAATGTAATAATAAATGTGTTTCAAAATACATTGACATGGTATTAGTCTTATGCTCAGGATTGCAAGCAGGAGTCCAAAGATGCCCATTGTTTAGCAAGATAGCAGAATATTTATAGGTTTGTGTGTATTTGTGTGTACACATTCCTAACCGTATCTTAAATCGGAATTTAAAAAAATGTAAAAACAGAAAACACAAATTTTCTTTCAATTGTTTACAAACTAAAAACGAACATTGTAGAACGAACGAATACTACGTAGAAATTGGTGTTTTATAAGTTTCTATAGAAAACATTTCAATATATGCACTGACAGGAAAGATTGAACAACCCAATTGATTCCCCCCCCCATTTTCTCGTTAAATGAAAATTCTTCCCTTTGCCTCATCGTTTTATCAACAAATATTTGTTTATGCTGTTTTAAATTGGGAATATCGATTAGAGGTGAAAACACTAAATCGTTAATCCAAAACAAGGATACAGCAATAAACTGTTTAATTTTCATCTTTGTTTTCTTAATTTAAATTTTTAAACTTAAAAATGCCACTTAATGCTGAGGATGTTGCGCGTGGTGTGGCACTTATTGATGATGGACGTTCCATCAGGTATGCGGCGGAGTTTCCTACGAAACTCTGCGAGACGCCGTTGGACGTTTTCGAGAAACTGGGTCGTACCTTAGAAGGCCATAGGGTGACAGCTACAGGATCGCCCTTTTTGGACTTCGAAAATTTTGCGAAACCACTCCTTACTGTTGCTCAAGCGATTCGTCAGCTCCAGGAAGTTCGAGGTGTCCAAATTTCTGAACTCACTGCTCGAAGAAGATTAAATCAGTATGGACTGATGGCTTTTCTCCCCGCAACAGGACCAGAATTGACCAGAACACACGGAGTTGCACGGCTCGCATTTGCTCGAGAACACAGCCATTGGTCTTTGGAAGATTGGTCTGCTGTACTTTCTACAGATGAGTGTAGATTTGCTCCAGACGGGCGTGAAAGAGTGTGGAGAAGGCGAAATGAAATGTATGCCTGTAACTTTTCTCAGAGCCAACCGTTTTCAGCGTAGCTCAGTGACGATGTGAGCGGAATTTCAATAGAGAGTCGTACAGAGTTGGATGTTGTTCGTGGAGGGTCTTTGACGGCCACTCGCTATGTGGATGAAATTTTGGAACATCATGCGTTGCCTATCCTCGAAGAAATCAGCGACAATCCTATTCTAATGCACGATAATAAACATATCGCTCTAAGAGTACAAACGTACCTTCAACAGCATAACATCAGTGTCTTTGTCTGGTAAGCATGTTCTCCACATTTGAACAACATCCATCGAGCATTTATGGGATAACCTCAAAAGACGAATAAGACCAAGTCCGTCACTTCCTGATACACTTCACGATCTTTGAAAGGTCTTCGTGAACAATGGGCTAACCTTAAGCAAAGGGACATTTCCAGACTAGTAAAAGTATGCCGATGCTTTTTCGAGATGTAATTAAGACAAGAAGAAAATGCACGATATTGAAATTTTAATTAAAAATCTAACACAACATTAAAACCAATTTTTTGTCTATTTTCCTTAGTAATATATATATATATATTTTTTTTTTTAACTTTTTAGACAAAGACTCAATTATTAAACGATAAAAAAAGTGAAACTTTGATTAATACATAAAAATATATATAATCAAGTTATATTACAATTGGGTGGAATTTTTTGCCTGTCAGTGTATATTCCTGCTTAATAGATTTTAAACCGGTCTGGCCGCCGAATAGTCATTAAAAAAATAATAATGTACTGGACGGTTCGTTCATTTGTTACTAGAATCTGTTGCACCAACTTGGTTTAAACTCAGTTCAGTACTGAACCGATTTCAACTCAAAAATTGCTTTTCAATTTATTTTAAACCAAGCGGCTACCACGGACTTAGTTGTAAGACTTCTCTCACATTGGAACAGACTTGTCGATGTGAATCACGAAATTTCAACAATTATTTCGTATCTGCAGGTTTTTTAAATATTTTAAAAAGAAATGTGTGGTGATTAGTGACCGTTAATCGATAATTATTCAGAAATCGTGAGATGCGGTCTAAGACAGACCGCATCCCACGATTTCTGAATAATTATTTTAAAAAGATGAATGGGCTAGTTGACAATAGTTTATCAATGAAGCTAAGACAAGTTCACGATGCGGGTTGATTTTTACTAAAGGAAATAAAACAGCGTATTCAATCAATACTAATTCATTCCCTTGTTCTTAGTTAGGTCACAAAACTAAATCGCTGGAAGTGTAATCATCACATACCTGGGTTTATTGATTCAAAGCTTAGATGCTCGGTGGATGCGAGGTCCTTAGGCGCGTTCTCAATATTCTACAAAATTCTACTAATTTATAGCACTACACTAAGGTTTACCTTGAAGTTCATTTTGTAACGAATTTAATTCAATTTTTAACGTAACTAATTTTTTTAAAGTTTTTTAAAAACTATTTTATCAGGAAACAGTCGAATGGAATTTTCACACGTTTAAGTCATGTTTCAACTTGAAAGGAACGACTTATAATTTCAACTACGAAAGTTCATCTTTAGTCGATCAACTCCGTTGAACCTAAAGGTGATTTCGTTCAACTTTAGACGATTCGTGAAAACGCGCCTTTAGGTTGTGTGCTAGGAACGCAAATATTCCAACTTGCTGGTGATCGTACATAGTCGCACGATTAAGTCCGTTCCAGTGTGAGAGGGCTGCACTCTCTTTTGGGAAAATTTATTCTTAGTTGTGGTTAAAATAGTGACGACCAAATTTTCTATCGTTATTTTTAAGAAACGAGAAAAGTGCTGTTGGCCGCCGAACTTTCATCATGTATGTTGGCATTGAACAACTTAAATTAACAAAAAAGCAAATAAGACTTACCTCTTTTTCTAGTTGAACAAATAGCACATATGCAGGGTCGTTCAGCAACTTTTCCTCTTCCATCCAAGTGTCATACTCGTCGGATAGATGTTTCCATCTCACCAACAGATTTCTTCCGCCAGTTTTCAATGTTTGGATAGCCACTATCTCTTGTACCTGAAAAAGGTTGATAACTTTTTAAAATGGCTGATATCAGACTCCTCCTAGACAATGCTTTTTAATTTGCGTTTTTCTACAAAAATTCATCGAAATAGTCTTACTTTTCATATGTGCCAGCTTAAAAAATGAATGTGTAATAACCTTTTTCCGTCAAATTAATCCAAACAGCAGAATTCACAGTGTATGTTTTTGAAGAAAAAAAAAGCCCATTTGTTAATACATAAATCGCGTTTGCGAACGCAGGGCCGCTGGATTCGAACCCCGGGAACTTTACCCTATATCGATGTCTTAACCATTGCGGCCATCGACGCCCCCAACCAATTTTAATTTCAAATTAATATTTTTTTACTTTGAATTACTACTTTTTAACTTCAAATTTTTTTAAAATCATAATGTATCTACAGAAGAATAAACTGCTGCTCCATTATCGCTTTTTTCCGTCAAATTAACCCTTCTATATATGATTAAAAACGTAGGAGTTGGTATGAAACATAAGCAATTAAAGTAAAATTCTTGTATGCTTAAAAAAAAAAAAAATACTTGCGTTCTTAGACCATTTGAACATTAATTAAAATTAAATTACATATCATTAAATTAATTATTAATTTTATGACTTAATTTTAATTTTGATTATTTTTCAAGCGGTATTTTAGAAAAAGACGCATTTTATTTTTTTTCTTGTTTCATTTGAAAATAACCCATTTCAAATTCAATTAACCTTTTTTGAATGTCAAATTAACCCAGTTTAACTTTCTATTAAACCATTTAACTTCAAATTAACCTTTTATTTGTCTAATTTTTTAAAATATAAAATAATTTAAATTACAATTACAATTGAAAGTTGTATAAAATTAACTATAAAACCAAATAAATGGGTCTTATATTAATTTATTTTTATTACTTTTAATTTTATATGAGATCAATTTTTAAGCAGTATTTTAGATGAAGACGGAATTTTATAATAGTTTTAAAATTATTTTTGTTTCATTTCTAATTATTTTTTTTAAACTTCAATTAACCTTTGTATTTCAAATTAACCTTTTATTTGAGTATTTTTTTAAAAAGAGAAAATCATTTAAATTACAATTAAAAGTTATATAAAATTAAATGTAAAACTAAATAAATAGGTTTTCTTTTAATTTATTATTCTTAATTTTATGTCTTTTAATTTTATTTGAGATTAATTTGCTAGACATGTTTTAGATAAAGAAGGGTGTTTATAATATAGTTTTATAACAATTTTTTTGTTTAATTCCAAATTAATCCTTTTTAACTTGAAGTTAACCTTTTTGTAATTTAAAATTTAACCTTTTTAACTTCGAATTAACCCTGTTTTAACACTTAATTTACCCTTTTTCATTCAAAATTAACCCCTTTTAATTTCAAATTAACCCTTTTTAATTTGAAAGTTACCCTTTCTTTAAAGCAATAAAAAGAAGTTAAAAACCCTATGAAAATATAACCATCCATAAAGCTGTTTGTACTTTATTCTGAAATTATTGTTAAGTAGTCCTAGAACTTTAGAACTTGTGTAATTTCGACGAGCCTTACCTCTGCGTTAGCGTGTATGTTCGATCGTCGTTTAACAGGCCCCGTAGTTTTGTCTTTCGAGTCGAGGATCGCCATATCATCTTGCGTACGCTTAACGCCGCGTCTATGAAGGATAATAATATCACCAGACTGATTCTGTTTAGACGCGGCAATTGAGCAACGGTTTAACGCCCTGTACTCGTCAATCTTGAGCTTCTTTGACGTCGGCTCCTTCTGTTTATGTTCTTTGAATGATTCGGCAACGGTTTGACACAACTCGTCGACACAGTCAGAGATGTTAACCTCGCCGGCCTTTCCCTTGTTAATCGGGGTTTCCTTACCCGCCTTTTCGAGGTTAGCTGCATCACCCGCCGCCTTTAAATAAACGATTTAAACGAAAAATTAAAAACCAATCGAAGAATTAAGTTACATTCATTACATTGTTTGTGATAATGTTAATATTATTACATCTTTGAGGATTAGATTCTTAAATTGAAATCTGACTCATAGAAAGAAGAAGGGTACATCCTCACCCGATTAAGGATAAGCCGTGACACTTTTGGACCAAAGCAATTGAAAGGTGCCGTATCCTTTGGCTGCATATAGAGTGCGCGTAGGAATAACACCCGATATGAGAATTGAGTTTAGCACGGCAGCAAGTATCTTCGTCCCCTGTTCTTGTTGTACTCAGGGTTGTTTTATTACATAGTATACAGTACTGATAGTTTTGTGTCCCTAGCATGTGTTGGCACAATATTGAGTACTCCAATCGTCCTTCAATTAGGTTAGTTATTAGGTAATCGAGGAATATCGAGAACTCCACCACTCTAATTGAATGGTATGTAGATAAGAAAGGATGTCTTTAAGAATGGGTAAGAGTGTGATGGATTTGGAATGAGGAACTAAATGCGTGGGGTGCTGAACCTGCTAAGGTGGTTGGACCGATAAGACCGAAGACTGGTCCCTGACAGCCAACACTCGAGGTCTGCCGGTAATTTACTTTAAATTACTTATTATTATTAATAAGTGCCGGTAGACTGAGAGAAGGGATAGGCTCAACCATGGACACGTGTGTGACTTCCAACACAGAAATCGGCCATTAAATGCCCAAGTCCGGAAATCTCATGCGAAGGTCGTAATCGATTGCTCCCATGAGACATATAAAAAATAGTCTTGTAAGGTACAGCGTTGGCTCAAATCAGAAATGCTGTGGGAAATTTGACAATAACATATTACTAGATAGCGGATCCCGGAGTCTATTATCACGTCTTACTAATTGTTTCGGTCTGAAATTTGAACGTAACCCACGTCGTTAGCATCTCTATTCATGGTGGCAGGCATCGGGTCGAATGTTGTTTGTTCCTATGCAAAAGAGCTCAGTATTCACACTTGGCAGTTTGAAATGGGTTTGATTCACAGAACAACTGCTACGAGTTTTGTGATATTACTAGTTTACAACGACCATCCATTACACTAGTTACACATTACGTAAAAAATGGTGATGAAGAAATACCAAGTACTCACCACGATCATTGAGTAAATGAGAGCGTCTAGCTTTAAAAAACAACTTGCGTTGGGGGTGTAGAGATAGAGAGAAGAAGGAGAGGGAAGGAGAGAGAGAGTGTGAAAGATGAGAAAGACAGAGGGAGGGGAGAGAAAAAGGAGGGAGGGGGAGAGAAAGAGAGAGGAGTACCTGAGAGAAATCAGGAGTAGTGCGGGAGGGAGTGAATCGAGGAGTATCTGAGATAAATTCACGAGTGTTTGGGGGGGGATGATGATAAACGCTTTATTTATCAATTACACAAGATTTAGTCTCAATGACCATTCTTACATCTAACATAGAGGATTGAGAGGGGGAGGGGGGAGTGAATGAGTGTATCGAGGAGTATGTGAGAGAAAATCAGGAGTATTTGGGGAGGGTCGGATGGAGGGAGAGAGTAAGATATTGAGGGAGTAGAGAGTGAAAGATGAGAAAGAGAGAGGGAGGTAGAGAGTGAAAGATGGGAGGGAGAGAGAGAGTGAAAGATGAGTGACAATTGGCGGAGGGGGAGGGAGGGAGAGTGAGAGAAAGATATTGAGGGAGTAGAGAGAGTGAAAGATGAGCAAGAGAGAGGGGAAGGGGGAGAGGGAGGTAGAAAGTGAAAGATGAGAGGGAGAGAGAGTGAAAGATGAGAAAGATAGATGGAGGGAGGGGGAGAGAAAGATGAGAAAGAGCGAGAGAAAGAGAAATGGAGGGAGGGGAGAGAGAGAGTAAAAGATGAGAAAGAGTGCAAGATGAGAGAGGGAGAGAGAGTGAGAGAAAAATATTGAGGGAGTAGAGAGCGTGAAAGATGAGAAAGAGAGAGGGGAAGGGGGAGAGGGAGGTAGAAAGTGAAAGATGAGAGGGAGAGAGAGAGTGAATGATGAGAAAGAGAGATGGAGGGAGCGGGAGGGAAAGTGAGATGGAGGGAGGGGGAGAGAAAGAGAAATGGAGGGAGGGAAGAGAGAGAATAAAAGATGAGAAAGAGTGCGAGAGAGAGGGAGAGAGAGAGTGAGAGAAAGATATTGAGGTAGTAGAGAGAGTGGAAGGGGGAGAGGGAGGTAGAAAGTGAAAGATGAGAGGGAGAGAGTGTGAAAGATGAGAGGGAGAGAGGGTGAAAGATGAGAGGGATAGAGAGTGAAAGATGAGAGGGAGAGAGAGTGAAAGATGAGAAAGAGAAAGATAGATGGAGGGAGAGGGGGAGAGAAAGAGAGCGAGAGAAAGAGAAATGGAGGGCGGGGAGGGAGAGTAAAAGATGAGAAAGAGTGCGAGAGAGAGAGTAAAGATGAGAGAGGGAGAGAGAGTGAGAGAAAGATATTGAGGGAGTAGAGAGAGTGGAAGGGGGAGAGGGAGTTAGAAAGTGAAAGATGAAAGGGAGAGAGAGTGAAAGATGAGAAAGAGAGAGGGTATGGGGAGAGGGAGGTAGAAAGTGAAAGATGAGAGGGAGAGAGTGAAAGATGAGAGGGAGAGAGAGTGAAAGATGAGAGGGAGAGAGTGAAAGATGAGAAAGAGAAAGATAGATGGAGGGAGAGGGGGAGAGAAAGAGAGGGAGAGAAAGAGAAATGAAGGGCGGGGAGGGAGAGTAAAAGATGAGAAAGAGTGCGAGAGAGAGTGAAAGATGAGAGAGGGAGATAGTGAAAGATGAGAAAGAGAAAATGAGAGAAAGAGAGATGGAGGGTGGGGCGAGAAAGTGAGATGGAGGGACGGGGATAGAAAGATGAGAAAGAGAGCGAGAGAAAGAGAAATGGAAGGAGGGGAGAGAGAGAATAAAAGATGAGAAAGAGTGCGATAGAGAGAAAAAGATGAGAGAGGGAGAGAAAGATATTGAGGGAGCAGAGAGAGTGAAAGATGAGTGACAATTGGCGGGAGAGAGAGCGAGTGAGTGAAGCGTCCGCAAGCCTTTCCCATGGCGCCAAAAACTCGTGGATTGTCCAATCTCGAACGGCCACTAATCACCCATTGCGTAATTTTCTTTTTTAATGAAGTCAGTTTTGTTTAAAGATCATCGCTAGGACAGTGTTCTATTAACATGACATATACATGTTGCAAAATGAATTTATTAGATCAGAATAAACGGGTACAAGTTCAACAAACCAAAACAGATCGTGGGAACGGGAGCTTGAGCCATAACGAGGTTTGTTATCCGTCTAGGCCCAAATCTTCTACGTCGGAATACTCGCCGATAACACACGGCAAAGGCCGAGCCACCTCGAGCAATAACGAGTCTAGGTTACCACGGCGTGAGGTATGACAAAATCCAACCCGCCCGCCATGGGAACAAGGCTTGAGAGAGAAAAACCAGAAAGTTTTTGGGAGAGAAGGAATCTAGTAGTTGAGAGAGAAAATACGAGAGTAATTGAGTGTGTGTGTGTGTGTGTGAGAGAGAGAGAGAGAGAGAGAGAGAGAGAGAGAGAGAGAGAGAGAGGGGGGAGTGTGTATGAGTGAGGGTGAGAAAACTTAAAATTGCACGGCAGGATTTTTCCTTTTAACCCGAACGTATTAATCTACAAAAGGTAGTTTAGTCATGGCCAAAACATAGAAATAATTTAATAAATGAAAACAATCATATAATGCTTATGGGCAAGGAGTACAGCTTGAAAAAAGGCGTTATCGCTATTTGATCCTTCGACGACCCTTCGTCCAATTTTGACTATTTTTTTCACTTATAAAAATATAGGATGTATTAAAAAGAAGGAAGTTAAAGTAATTATAATTAATTTGAAGTACAATTAGAGAAAAGGACAAAAAGTAGTGTGAAAAGTTAAAATATTGATTTGAAAAGTTTTTTTTTTATATGGACAAGTTCAAATTCAGTCAGTCCGCGGAAAAAAATGGCGAGGGCCACGTGGTCATAAACTCAAAAAACTAACCCATTAAACCCTTTTTTGAAAATAAAGGGTGGATGAAAATTAAAACAAAATAGAAAAAACTTTTTGTAAATTGATTTGAAAGGGGATTTTGTTTGAAAAAAAAATAGCATTCTTCAAAATGAAAACTTTACTGTCTTACAAGGTGGTGGCCCTTTGTTCCGCGCACGTGGCGGACCCTCAAAACGAATTGTTCCATCATAAATTTATAATAATTATATTATATACTAACTGTCGAAATATATAAAGTAAAGATTATTAGTTAAAAAGGAAGAACATTATTATAGAGAAGAAAAATAGTGTATAGAGGTAAAGAAGAATTAAATAAATTGATTCACCTTGATAACATCTCCACATTTCTGGTCCATTTCTTTGCTTTGAGTTGTTTTATTTTTAAAGTTCAATTGTGACACGAAGATTCGATACGTTAGGTGTGTACACGAGGAGGGCTGGAAGTCGTCTGACCGGCAAAGAAGTAGGAACAAAATCGTCCGTGGTCAGGGATGCCTTGATTGGACCAAAAACGACGAAATCTTGGTTTCTACTTAAACTTAAATTCTCAGTTGAAATTTCCAGACCGGCTAAGGTCAATTTATTAAATTCATAGAGCCGAAATTTGATCTTTAATTTTTTCTCAATTATCTTGTTAAAAATCGACAACGTTGGATCGGTTGTATATTTTTTGTTGTTTGTTTTTGAGTTTCAACCCTTTCCCAATACGTAAGAGGCGCTAAATTTAAAACGTCGGTTTGACATCCACTATTCTAAATTCCATTTAACACGACACAAATAATCAAATTTATTTTTTAACACGAACTATGTAATGGAGTATATGTAAAAAGAAGTCTTCCAGCACACACAGCAGCAGCACACAAAACTGGCAAACCTATGTGTCACAGCGGCAACAAAAACAACCCCGTCAATTGCACCAGTAACGCTGCAAAACTTACCATGGAAGTCCATAGAAACAACATGACAATTAAATTTGAATTTAATTAATTCAAATTTTAAATTAAAAATGGTTAATTTGTAGTAAAAAAAGGTTAATTTGAACTTACAAAGGGTTAATTTGAAATTTAAAAGGTTTAATTTGAAGTTACAAACGGTTGGTTGATTGAAAAAAATTATTTAAAATTAAAAAAGGTCGATTTGAATTTCTAAAGGGTTAATTTGTAATTTAAAAAATAAGAATGTGGAGAAAAAAGGGTTAGTTTTAAATTAAATAAGGTTAATTTGAAGTTAAAAAAGGTTAAGGCGGACAAGCTATACTCGACTTTAAAGTAAAACAGAAATCCATTATATTTAGTGGTTTATTCACCAAATAGCCGAAGGTCGTGGATTCGTCGCTAAATACGCCGCTGCTCTAACCACTTGAGTTCGTGAGTTCGAATTCCGCTTGTGACACTAGCTTTTTCATTTCAACCAAAACCTTACATAAAAAGATTAAGTAATTAACAGAAGTAATTTGGTGAATAAACCACTAAATATAATGGTTTTAATAACTAAAACAGCTTCACTAACAGCTCCCCGTGACCACTTCATATGTCGCCGAGAATCGAATCCTGATTACACGGCATTCGAAAAATGGCAAAAAGAGGGAAAATTCGAAAGGTTGAGATGGGAGTTGGTGTCCGAATGGATGGAAGTCACGATAGCTCAAGTGGTAGAGCAGCGGCGTATTTCGCCAAAGATAGTGGGTTCGAATCCCGCTCGTGGCACTAGCTTTTTCATTTCAACCAAAACCTTACAGAAAAGGAATAAGTTAAAATGAAAATTAAAAAAGGTTAATTTGCAGTTTAAAAGTGTAAAATTGACTGAAAAAGCTTTAACTCGAAGTCACGATAGCTCAAGTGGTAGAGCAGCGGCGTATTTCGCCAAAGATAGTGGGTTCGAATCCCGCTCGTGGCACTAGCTTTTTCATTTCAACCAAAACCTTACAGAAAAAGAATAAGTTAAAATGAAAATTAAAAAAGGTTAATTTGCAGTTTAAAAGTGTAAAATTGACTGAAAAAGCTTTAACTCGATTTCACGATTGGAAGGAAAATGAAAAAAGATTAATTTAAAATTAAAAATCTTAGTAACCTGTTGTTTCATAATTTGTTGAAGTCGTGAGGAGCGGTCAAGAAGGAGGTAGTTTAGAAGAACGCCTTTTTAATTTTTTGCCAACATTCCTACGTAATTATAAATATAAAATTTGAATGAAAAAACGTAAATATAAATTATGAACGAAATATTTCTTACTCATATAAAGTGTGGTGCTATTCTTGAGGTGTCATACTGGCAATCACTTTATATGTGTGTGAAATACTTGGTTCAAAATTTATATTTACATCTTAAATTGCATTTTTTTTTTCAATCAACATATGTGTTGTATTTTACCCAGGCCCTGAATATAACCCATATAAAGGTCCTAACGTCGGCAACAAAAAAAACGAAAGAGTTTAGAAAAACACCTAAACTACCTCATTTTTGATGCTACTCACGACTGCAACAAATTAAAGAAATTAATTTGACCGACAAAGCTATAACTCGACTTAACAGGCCACTTCACGGCCTTGCGATCCGCGACCAATATTGGTCTATTGTCAAGAAACAGCAATTGTTGCGTAGGCCTCTTCGTTAAGCTCAAGGCTTTTTTTACCAGATTCAAAGCTTTGTTATTCTTCATGCTTTGACTTTTCCCTTCTCCAGATGAATCTCTTGCAACTGGGGATATTTTTCACTGTTTCCTCTAATGTGCACCGGCTTGTTTCTGCTACGCCGAGACATGCCTCCCAAGTCAGCAGTGTCCCGTAAATAGTCTCTTTATCATTCAAATCCTAACACGTCCTTGGTTTAATCCTAAGTTCTGCGATTAATGAACTTTTAATTAACTTTAATGAACTTTTTAATGAACCGAGGACGTATTCTGAGCCCATTGTTTGATGTATGGATCTAAGTTTTTGGTAATTTGGTATGCCGCAAAAGGTCTCAGGGTTGAAAGCTGGCTTTATGGAACTTTCCTCGGCCAATTTATCAGCATACTCGTTGCCCCTCTGTCGTGTATGCCCTGGTACCCAACCAAGGTTAATTTTTGTTGTTCAAATAGCTTAGCGTATTATATATGAGATCGATCTATATAAAATAATTGCAATATATATCATCCAAAAATGTTCGATAAAAATTACTCGTCTGTGCTGCTTGATTCTGGTACAAAATGCCTCTCACGTTTAATCATTTCCAATGATCAAATAGCGCATTTGTTGATCCGAGAGGAGACAGCAAGCTTTCATTATCTGTTGTTTCGATGGATGACAATGATGGAATGGTTATTATTTAAATTGCAGACGTCCTTGGCGTTAAATAATGGCGACGGATGTTGATTTTTTCCATCTGGACGGACATTTCCATCTGTAAATTAGTTTTCAATAGCCTGCTGAAAATAAATCGAATCAATACTTATACGCGATGAAGGGTATCCTCCTGACTATGTACTCCTCTGTGTCACATACCTCAACCTTCCATATGCAGCCTTTATTTATTTATTTATTCCAATTGTTAATTAATGTATTGCATCACTTTCCTCGAGTCGGTAGCAAACGGAAGTTTAATTAAAGATGGATATAAAATATGCTGATTAAAAATTGCTTAATGAGAGGTACAGAATTATTTTTTAAAAATCAGTATGTACGATGTCAGTATTCAAGTTCAAATCAAGCATTTTTGTTTCCGATGTTGAAATCTCAGTAAAGGATGGATTTTCAATTTTAGGGATGACTTTTTCCAATCCCAGGTACCCGAGGGGTGAAAAATAGGTAAACTATGACCTCAGTTCCAGAATAGGTTGCAAGGGCCCGTAGTAATTGTCGTTAAAGGTATGTGGAACGCGGTTCGGACTTCGATTAAGTATTGGTCTATTTCATAAAATTATTATGTTTTTTAACATAATGGACTTTTAGACATTTAGTCGTCGAAAAAAGAAACTCCAAACGTATGTCGAGTTGATTCATCTATATAAAGTTAATCATCGTTTTATTAATATCAAACCTATAAAAAAATTACATCATGGCTTGCTTCAAAAATCTCAGCCTCAACCCCTTTAGAATTGGTTGGTGCCTTAAAATGCGGTACGTGTCCACTAGTGGTAGGACACTCAGAAGGGCAACGAACTGGGCGATAAACTAGCCAAGGAAAGTTCGATGAGGACACCTACGCCTCGAACCCTTAGCCACCCTTGCCAAAAACGTAGATCCATAAGACAATGGGTTAAGAATAAGTACTGATTTCAATCAGTCTGATGTGCAGGGCTGAAATATGCGCTTAACTAAAGGCAGAATTAAATCTAAGACGTGTTAGGACTAGTATGATAGTAGGAATAGAAGCAGCAGACCACCGAGGCATATGTCCAGTCTGGTTTATTTAAAGATTGCTATTACTGGGCTGAAAGGCCAAGGCCTGAAGGATACACACAAACCTTAACAAAGGTTTGGGATCAGCCAAAACAACCCTTTGTAGTTCATTAAAGGACCAAAGCAGAAAATAAAGGCAAAACTATTAAACCTAAGACGTGTTAGGACTAATTTGATAGTAGGACTGGACACAGCAGACTGCGAGGCATACGTATAGTCTCGGAGCAGCAGAAACAAGCCTGAGCAGTTTATTAAAGGACCAAAGCAGAAAATAAAGGCAAAACTATTAAACCTAAGACGTGTTAGGACTAATTTGATAGTAGGACTGGACACAGCAGACTGCGAGGAATACGTATAGTCTCGGAGGAGCAGAAACAAGCCTGAGCAGTTCATTAAAGGACCAAAGCAATAAAGGCAAAACTATTAACGCTAAGACGTGTTAGGACTAATATGATAGTAGGATTGGACTCAGCACACGCCAGAGGCATATGTCTTGTCTGTCCTATTCAGAGATTTCTACTTTTAAGCTGAAAAGCCAATGCCTGAAGGATACTAACACCCTAAACAAAACTTCGGGATTTGTTAAAAAGTCTTAAGCTTAATGAAAAGCTCTCGATAGTAATGGAGATTGCACAAACCAATATCGGTCGCGAGGATACCCTTACCTTTAACCTTACCCAGAGGTAAAATAGTCAGCAATTAAAATTCATTGTTGTATACTGTATGAAATTTGTTATTCATAACAAGAGTTTTTAGTAGTCAATTTTTTAAAAGGTTATTTACATTTTTTATTGCCTTGTGTTCCTTTCTTGATGAGTTCACTGCTCCCAGACAATTGTTCCATTCAGTTCAGGTCAGCACGTTACCGGAGACCAGTCTTCTTGAGTATCCAAGGTAGTAGTAAGTATTCTATTGATAGCGATAGAACGACCCTTCGGATAGTTGTGCTGGTAATGTTAAGTCACCCTGTTCTAATTAGTAAGTTAAAAAGAATGAAGATTCTTTATGTGTCTTATTTCTAATATTTTATAACTGTACTTGTTAACTTCTTTGTACAACGCTCATTGAGTTGAGGGTGGCCACCCACCTTTTTTGAGCCTTATATTGCCAGAACGTAGGGCACCAGGCAAAATTACAAAAACGCCTCCTCCTTTCTAGGGGTTACTTTCAATGTTAACTGTACTTTCAGGACGGGCTCAACTATTGTCCATTTGCTTCTACCCAGGCTTCGTAATAAGTCAAACAGCTGACTTTAAAAACATGTTTCCTATCAAGATCCTTCCGATGTGTCCGAGGCCAATTAAAATAAGCCGGTACCGTTTGGACACCGGGTGTGCACCTCTAGGCGTTTCACACATGTTGGAAAAGTTCGAGAAAGAAATTTAACATAAAAATTATATTGTTTTCAAAATGAATTTTTGTGAGTAATTTCCCTTGATTAGGATATACAGGGTGAATGGCGATAAGTGTCGAAAATTTCAGAAAGTGTTTCTATTCACCATATAGAATACAAAAAACTTCCTATAAACCCCTGTCCAAATCTCAATGGTAAAGAAGTAATTTCAGGGTTTTTTTTCGACTTAGGTCCACTAAATTGGGTATAATTATAATTTTCAGAAATTCTGACTGTAGAAAAATCTGGTTTGTGCCTCCTGAAAGAACGTTAAATGTGCTGTAAGGAAACCTATTTACATTGCAGCATTGAGGAAAAAATCTGCACGAAAAATTCAGAAAAAACAAAAATGTTGAAATTTGGATTTTTGGAAAATATTGGATTGGTAACTGTTAATAACTACAAACTCCTGGAGCTTTTTGCTAAATCCCTCAGAAGTTCTCCATTCAATTGGCTTCCAGCGGTATACCAAGCTTTATGGATTGCGCTAATGGAAGGCCCAAAAATTTTGTGTTTTTTTTAAGAAAACTGGTGCCGATGAAGGGTGGCACGCTCAATTTTTCTAGGAAATCCGTTGTCTGTTGATTTTCATGTCAGTTTGCTTCATGTTATCGGCTGACAACATCCTCAGGTTAGTGATTTAAATTATGTCTTTGTTTCCCAATGAACAACTTGCTGATATGCATTTCATACTGCAACGGTAATGCTACTGCTGCAGGGAGAGAATACCTAGCTGGTTTTCCACATCGAGACGATCTAGCAGATCGCATCTTCCAATACTTCATCAGAGGCTGAGGGAAAATGGTTTCACCCCAAAGAACGAGGGAAGACAATCAGTGAATTGATGTAGATAAGGAAATTTTGCATTCTGTTAATTGTCAAATCAGTATATTTGCGTTATGTATAGACCTTAGAGTTTCACAATGGAGAGTTTGGGATACCTTCCGTCGGGAAGGGTTGTTGCCCTTACCATTTTACCAGGGTTCAAAGTTTGGAACGAAATGACCACCTTTTCGTCATTTCGTTCCATAACCATAAATGAAATGCATATCAGCAAGATGTTCATTAGGAAACAAAGACATATTATAAATCACCAACCTGAGGATGTTGCCAGATGACAACATAAAGCAAACTGATTGAATCGAACAATAAAAAAAAGAAATCATATATATCCAATATATATAATTTTTTTTTGAAATTTTCGACACTTATCGCCAGTCACCATGTATAGGATTGAATTCTTTGGAGATTGACAGGACTTTGGACTTTACTTTTCTCACGGAATCGACTTTCTTTTACGTTCTCTTATATTGGATTAAATTTGTTTGTTGACACTGAATGTCGAGAATATTTTGATGTTTACTTTTAAAAAGTGGATGCAAGAGTGCGGCATGCAGTATACATTGAAGGCGGCTTCTTTTATGTTGCTTCTACGAAATCATTGTATTTCACTAAGGTTTTCATTCTCGTACCAGTCGTAATAAAACCGATACAAAGTACCTTGCGCTTGGTTGTAAGTTGAGATAAATTGTAATGTTATGTTAATGACTATGTTATTTTAATGACTGATGACTAAACAACACACTTGTGCTTTATTTGTTTCTTCTGATTGTTTTGGAACATAATCAGTATCCAATACAGAGGCTTCTTCCTTTACAAGATCAGATTCCATTCTCCAATGTTCAAGTTCCTTTCCAGCGATATCTTAATATGACGAGAATTTCATAAAAAACAATCTTCTCTTTTTCGACATGATTAATAAAACAAATAATAAATGGAATGAAGGTTACGTTGGGCCTGAGGGATGCTTAGCTTGATAAACTTCAAGAGCTCTTCAAGAGGGTATTAATAAACATTAAATAGAATTAATGTATTTACAGTCCTTAGAAATCGTGAATTTATAATACGTCTTCCGTCAGGCGTGTTTCGGTTTCTAGACATCTTCAGTGGTCGGTCTTGTGTAATTTAAGAGGATGAGAGCTGTAAAAACTTTTTAAGTTAAAACATCCCTTCAACTATTTCATGAATCGACTGCTGACACGGCAAAGTTGAAATTGGAAAAAAAATGAAATATAATTAATTTATTTTGCAGCCTTGGAATTCCTTGAATTTGATCTCACAGTTTCTTTTTTAAACTTAAAAAAAAATTTATGTTTGGTCTGTAAATAAAATTTTGGTAAAATTTATGTTCGGCATAGTGCATTGGCTATGAATCTTGGTCCGCCTATCCTCGCTCTTTTTTTTTCTGCCAGACGTGTTTCAGTTTCTCGACATCTTCGGTGGTAGGTCTTGTGTAATTTATGAGGATGAGACCTGTAAAAACTTTTTAAGTGAAAATATCTCTTCAACTATTTGATGATTAGACTGGTGACAAGACAAAGTTGAAATTCAAAAAATGAAATATAATTAATTTATTTCGCTGCCTTGGAATTCCTTGAATTTGATCACACGGTTTTTGTTTTAAACATCACAGAAAATTTATGTTTGGTCTGTAGGTAAAATTTATGTTCGTCATATGCATCGGCTATGAAAATTTAGTCTTTCAATTTCATCATTTTGGTCCGTCTATCCTCGCTCTTTTTTCTGTCAGAACTGTTTTGGTTTTTCGACATCCTCGGTGGTAGGTATTGTGTAATTTATGCGGATAACAGCTGTAAAAACATTTTAAGTTAAACCATCATTTATTCAACTACTTGATGAATCGTAGTTGATAATTGACCACTTTTTTCTTAACATTGGTGATGTAAATCATCCGCAGTTTGAATTATAAGACGCGAAGCGAACATACACACACACGCGCGCACACACACGCACACACACGCACACACACACACACACACACACACACACACACACACACACACACACACACACACACACACACGATATTTAAACCCCCCTTTTAAATGGTAGACTAATTTATTGGTTTTGCTTTATTTTCCAGGTAAGCAGCTGAAACCGGAGGGATTAGCGGAACTCTGTGTAATTGGAAAGTCTGTAGGGGTTGGAAGGCCGACTCAAGGGGAAGTGGGAGATAGGGTGCGCCAAAGAGAAAGAGACCCGTCAGAAAGTTTATAGGCTTAAAAAATGAAATACACTACAAAAAGAGGTCTGAAGGGTAGGGAGGAATTGTAGATAGGGTGTACCTACCTGGGGGCTTTGCCGTCCCCCCGACCTAACAACACCTGCCTCCAGTTCTTTAGTTATTTCCCTCCACGCGAGCAGTGAGCCAGCCAGTCGAATTCAGTCCCTCAATGCAAGATGAAGCAGGCCTGATGGCTTTTGACCGCTTTGTGGATAACACGTCTATTAACTGGGAGTTGCTTGCAGAAAAGTAAGTCATCACTATTATTTTTCATCGTAAGTCCAGGAGCTTCTATTAATACCAAAAAAGAAATTGAACATGTTTTGACGGTATCACCTCAGAATTGACACGGTATCAGTTGGCACGGTACCTTCCAAAATTTGACCTGCTAAAAAACCTCACAATGATGCTAGGTCTTTCATTCATTCGAGTGTCCTTAAAAATCGAGAGGAACTAAATTTGCTCTAGTTTACAAAAAGAGGATGATTAACTTCTTCGAAACGGCTTAGACTTCAAATACCGTGTGTTCAGCCTTCAAAACAAACCAGCCCCATGTTATCTATTAGATTGTCTAGCATTTTCACAATGGTTTTTCGCGCTGTGAGAGTTGTCGGGTGTTGCCGGCAGATGTTGTGCCACCACACCTGCCTCCCATATGGTGTCCTCTTCATTACAACGCCACTTTCTTGAGCCCTGGCAAAGGTCCCGATCGCAGGAAACAATCATTTCAAGCAATACGGGGGGGCCGTAATTAGAAACATTTTCTACTATTGAACTCGACAACAACAGTATACCTAAAACATTTCACTGTTGTTGAAATTGAAATTCTGATGAAATGTAATTTTATATTTGGGTACATATCAAACTTTTTTTGAACTATTATGAACCGATGTGTACGTTTTTCAAGCCATTGTAAACGTCTGTCATTAAACATGGTAATAATTAAACAAAACTTACTCATGTTGGTAGTATAAAATATAACCAATTATGTATACTCTACTACGAATCTTCTAAGCTTTATACATTTACTTCACCTGAACTTGCATTTAAAAGTAACCTCAATTTTCTCGCTTTTGTTGCAACAAATGTTTTAAACTGTGGTAAACTCCAGGATAAACACTTTAAATACTTTTTTTTCAATCACCACACACTTTAAATACTACCATAAACGCGTTACTCTTTTATTTACTATGCTCCTTTTGAAATGGAAGATTTTGTGGCATTTGCAATGTCTCCAGACTCGGGGACTTACATGTCACTAGTATCGTGTAAAATTAAAAATAATTCTCAATACTTAAAAAGTAAAATTCAAATAATAAAATAAAACTTTTTACATTATTTATTAGTTGCCTATACATATATAATTGGTACGTATTACAAATGTGATCACAGTGTTTTTCACACGGTCACAGCACTAGCACTAATGCCAGCGCTGCACCCGGAGGATACAAGCTATGGGAACCAGTCAGTGATGGCCCTCAGTGTGAGGGATTGAGGGGCAAGGAGGTCGAGGCCATCGTCGTTTAGGGCAATAGGTTAGGATGGATCGAGAGTTTGGTATGAAACTTTTGGAATCAGGAACGGATCAGGTCGTCGACAAAGGAATGCTGAGGTAGTTGTGCATAGTGAGGTTATTGAAGTACTTTGACGATTTGCTTGGGGACTTTTAATTGAAAGTATTGAATGCATTAGATGTCGGCAGTTCCACTATGTATGTCCAAAATGGTCGTAAGATCTTGTATAAAGTTAGTTTAGTGTTGACGGTCAAGACAGATCTCGGTCCTAGAAGTAAGTCGTCGTAGTTGTCCAAGTCTTGTGGGGTTCCAAGTCTGCTGTCTAGGTCAAGTCGTAAGTTTGTGACTTGAATTTAAGTCGGTTTCTCTTTGTTGTTGACGTAAAATTGAGCCAACTTGGTGATAGGAAATTGTTTTATGAGAATCTAGGATGGGGATTAATAGCTTTAAAAGGATTTTAGACATTGCGGGAAGAAGACTGATGGGCCTGTAGGAGGATTGTGAGCTCTGGCAATAAGAATAACGACGGATATCCATATATAACAGAGGATAGCAGTGGTTCTCGTAGGATGGCATTACATATTGTGGTTAGGAAAACTTTTAAGGTTTAGAAGTATGATTGACCTAATTATATCAGATATATGAATGTGGTACTTTACTTCAGAAGGATGGAAAAGTTTGAGGGGTGATGAAGAGGAAGTGGTAAAATAAAAATAATCACGTCAATATCAAATTTAAAAAAAACACATGTAACATGCAGATTGATTAAGTACTGCTTAGTATACATAAAAATGTGTACATACAAACTATATATTTAATGTACATAGAGAGGCAAAAAAATGCCACCCTTAATAAATATAGTTTTAATTATCTCTTAGACAATCCTAGGTAGAGTAAATACTATAGAATTTTGTAAATAAATCTTTGAGTATTCAATCTCTTTGTTGATTTTTTTGTAAAACTTTTCAGTTTAAAGTTTGTTTGAACGATGATTTTAAGTGATAAAGATTCGGCTGGATCGATAGCAATGTTGGAAGATGGAAGAAGCCAAGCTTATGTGGCCAGGGTGCTTAACATTCCCAGAACCACTGTCCGAAGGATTTTCCATCGCTACCAAGATACTGGAGATTATTAAGGAGGCATGGATCAGGTCACGACCATCGTTGTATTGTTTCGAATGTACTCCGTAATCGGCATCCTACCACTCTTGAGATCAAGCAATGACTTCAACAAGTTAGATATGTTTATTTAAATTTCGCTGTAAGAGGAAGATTTTCAGAAACTGGATGACATGCGAGAACTCCTTCCACTGAACTTCTGACAAGGCACATATATAAGTTTCATAAGTTTCGCAAGAAATCACATCAATTGGTCTGAGCAAAATTGGTCTAAAATCTTGTTTTCGGATCAGTCAAGTTTTCTTTGAGGTCTTCTCACTGCTGAGAGACGGTTTGTATAAGAACAGGGGAGCGATGTATCCCCGGAACGTTTTCACTCCTGAGAAGCTCTTAAGTCGTGCTCTTATGGTTTGGGCAGGCATTTCTATGGAAGGCCGCACAAATTTGATCTTCGTCGAGGGTTCCCTAAAAGCTGCACGATAAATTGAAGATGTATTATCGGAATAAGTTGTTCGTTATTTGATTGGTTTTAATTGTAAGAATGATAGATTCAGTGTTTGGAGTGGCGTGTAGTCCCGACTTAAACCACATCGAACCACCTTTGTATGAAAATAATCCACAGCACAACTTCAAACTTCATAAAATCGATGCCACGTTAATGCAAGCAGCGTTCAAAGCAAGAGGAGGAAATACTCCGTACTGAATTGAATATTTTCTTCGTTGTTTCCATAGCAACATTTTTGGTGAAATTGTTGTAGTCATTTTAATTTTTTTACTTAGATAAATCTTACATTTTTCTTTAAAAATATGCAGTAAACAACAAGAAACAAAAATTAGGACGATTGCACGTACATATTTACTAAAAAAAAGAATGGTGGCTACTTTTTGCCTCTCAGTGTATTTAGGTGGTCGATAGCGTTTTGTTTATGATCATTTTCCATTTTTTCCAGCAAAAATTCAATACCATACATTCTACGATTATTTCATTAAATAAAGATATTCCTTAAATTAATATTTAAAATAGTACTGCAAAAAAACTACTAAATTTTTATTTACCCTTTTTACCAGCTTTTAAGTAGATTGATTAAGAAACGTTTAACTAATTTGATTTTATTTTTTTAAATTTAACCTCGTATAATCCATTGTAAACAAACTTATGTGGCTGTGTGTAAAATGGCGTAAAAACTTTCTTAGGTGTCCCTATTGAAATTAATTTTTCTTCTATGTCGACATAAGTGTCATAAACAATTGTCAAAGAGCAACTCTTCTGATAAAACATTTGTGCAATGTCAGTGCAACGCTAGCCGATTGAATAATTTATGCGCTATCTCATGTGATGCTACTGTGAATGAGAAAAAGATCTGCCCAAAGGTCGATTCACTCGCAACTAGTACAAAACCATTGTGTTTACCATAAATACAATTATATGTCAAAATGAATTAACAAGTTTCAAAAGTCAGTTATTTTATCTTCTGTCCCTTATGCTTTACTTTCTGTCAAAACGATGGAATTTTTTTTTAACTTTGGGCCAAATTGAAAAAATTTCTGCCGCCCTTTATAATTGGAAATAGAAGGACGTGATCAAATACTCCGACTGTTTTAACCGGTGAAACGGCGATAAATCTAAAAACAAAAAGCTTGGAAATGGCAAAGCTGCTGTTATAATTTAGAGGTTCCCTATAAGAATCTAAAACGGGGCGGTGACGTCTTTTTCCGTAAACGACTATTTATCTCTAATAGTACAACATTTGATGCGATGTATTGAAGAGAGAATAAAATTGCTTGTAGCCCTCCTAATTCCTCGCGGCTGAGAGAAAGAGAAAGAAAGAAAGGGAGAGAGAGAGAGAGAGAGAGAGAGAGAGAGAGAGAGAGAGAGAGAGAAGGAGAGAGAGAGAGAGAAGGAGAGAGAGAGAGAAGGAGAGAGAGAGAAAATATAAAATTGCTTCTCTCAATCTCATAGAATGTTTGAGAAAGAATATAAAATGGCTTCTTTCAATCTCGAAGGTTTGAGAAAGAAAATCATTCATTCTCTCAGGCGCAGGAGAGAAGAAGAGAGAGAGAGAAGGAGAAGAAAATTGCTTATCAGCCACGAGCCTTTAGAGAGAATAAAACAGCTTATCTCAGTCGCGAGGATGAGGAAAAGAGAAATAAATAGAAAGAGGGCGAGAGAGAGAGAGAGAGAGGGAGAAGAAAATTGCTTATCAGCCACGAGCCTTTTGAGAGAATAAAACAGCTTCTCTCAGCCGCGAGGGTAAGAGAAGAGCCGCTGTGCTTTTAGAGAGAATAAAACAATGAAAGAAAGAAAGAGAAAGAGAGAATATAAAATCGTTTTTCTCAGCTACCAGGGTTTGTGAAAGAATCAATTGCAATTTTAAAATTGTCTCTTTCGACAACCGGCGACTTGTTTAGCGGTTCATCCCTAAATAAATTGCAAAACCCCGTTACCTCGTACCTTCTCATGCCTTATTCCCCGGCTTATTTTCAGTTTCTTAAATCCAGCTTTAATTTTTTAATTTGTCCTTTGTATACCTGTGCACGCTGACATTTTTATATATACAATTTTTTCTTCTAATCTTATTTTTATATCTCCCAGTTCAAGGTTGTAAAACTTGTGTTC